CTTTACTGAAAATGCCGGTGTAATCGGCCTATTCTGTCGCATCTGCTGGCTGTCACTGACACAGCTCCGCAGCGGCTGTGAGGGGGAACGTTCTCCTTCACAGCAGCTGCTGAGCTATGTCAGTGACAGCCAGCACCCGAGACGCCATAGCGACCCAGGCAGCCCACACGGCATCAGAGAGATGCCGGGCCCCCCTGTGCACGGGCCCCATAGCAGCCTTCCTGGGTCGCTATGGCGATTGTTACGCCACTGCTTGTGACCCAGTTATTTCACCACTGAGTGTTGCCATCTTGTCTTTTTCACTGCCTAGAGATGTTGAAGCCGGGCTGACTGCCCTCATTTCAGTGACACCTCTGCCTTTCCTGTGATTGTCACATGTCACTACTCTCTGCATTTGTCAGCGGGTGGGGCTTAGCTGTTGACTTTTGAGAAAAACATCCCCCCGTGACCCAAAACTCAGTATATAGCGGGCTATATGCTGAGAGCGTTACAGCCGGGACAGATCCCGACAATACTGTCTGGATCCACTCCGCTGGCTGATTGACAGTGGGTGCTGCCTATCCAGCTGTGCCCGCCCCTCCCCATCCATTCCTCCAGTCAGCATTGGAGGATCAGAGACGGAAGGGGGGGAATCCCTGTGGGGAGCGGTGATTGACAGTCGCCGCTCTCTGCAGAGGGATGATCAAGAAGTGAGCGATCGGCGGTATGTTTTCTCTCACTTCCCGATCAATAGAGCCGACATGTGACAGTTTCAAGTAAAACAGTTTCTTTAAGTAAAACTTGTCAAGTTCAAATCTGCTGTATATAAGCCACTCCTAACAAAATGTATAGTAAATATGTTTTCCATCCAACTGACCCTACAAACCAGGTGTGGGCAACTCTGGCCCCTCAGCTGTGCTTTAACTACAAATTCCAACATGCCTCTGGGAGTCATGCCTGTAACTGTCAGTCTTGCAATATGACACAATCCTGGGGGTTCATTTCTCTCCCTTTGAAATGTTTTGCATTTTGTACAATAGAATTAATGACTTTGCCAGGCCATTGTCCTGCCTAGATTTAACCCAATCCCTTCCGGTATTTTTTTTTAGAGTAGTATACTCAGTTTTAAGATGAAGGGAGTACATCTACAAACCAGCTGAGCACATTTACAATACCACAGAAGATGGTCAATATTTTCCACAGTTTGTCCTCGGGCGTTCTGCTGATCCTACAAGAGTTCTATCACGCTAAAACAATACACTGGTGTGCAGCTGCCCAAGTCAATATTTTTGTACATACATTAGGAATTATTCCAACACCTTTTCGTGTATTCTAGATGTTGGGAATCTTTCTCCTGGGATGATGTTTTCTGTTCATGTAGGCTTTTAAAGTTGTTTGGCGTTTGAAACTATTTCAGTATTCACCTGCTCCACTTGATACCGATACAATTTTATTCACCACATTAAGCACTGGGGAAACTACAGCAGCATATGCCAACATAGGGGGCACAAGCCCACTATGTGAAAGCACATTGAAGGTGACAGATTCTCTTTAAGAACACAGGAATGTGTCCAAAAGCACATCTTCTTTATTGATGCATATTGTCACATATAAAGTGCAACATTTTGGGGCCACTCGGGGTCCCCTCAGTATGACATCATACTAAGCCTGATGGTTCCTAAGGTGTGTTTGTGACGTCTTTTTTTTTTTCTTCTTTGACCCATGCGGCACCATCCGTGGTCACTTCAGCACCCACCTTCCTAGGGGTCATCCGGTAAGGAGTGCGGCAGGATACTTTTGAGGTTCTCTTCAAGGTGATGTTAGGGGTCCCCTAATGTCACCTTTGCACTTAAAGCACAGATTGTGCATGATCAATTTCTTCCCCGGCTTCACTAGCCATGGAATGACAGCTGAGAAGTCGGAAGTGATGCAATAGGCATCGCTTCTGTCTTCATACACAAGGGAGGAAATCAGCGAATAGTTGTTTGCTGAGCTCCCTCTCTGCTTCGCACCAACACCTGTGATGCCGGCCCTGGGCTCACAGGAGGGGCAGTGGAGCCTGGGAAGCAAGGTGGGGGGTGTCAGGCGGGGGGACTCTGTTTACCACCCGGCTTTTCAGCCATCAGAATCACTTCCAGTGTAAAGTCGACAGTTGGCTTTACACATGGTACTGCCATTGTAAGGGTTAAAAGTATGCAGAATCAGTAGGCAGCACAGTCTAAAGTTTATTGGACTTTAAGGGAGTAGGCTACATAAAATTACACAAAAAAGGGAGGTTCCCTCCTTCACATTAAATGACTCCCTTCAAACCAGGAACTTCCCTTTACATCAGATCCTCCCTTCAAATCAGGAACTCCCCTTCACATCAGAGCCCCCTTTTCACATCAGAATACCCCTTTTTCACATTAGAGTCCTCCTTTACATCAGTAGCCTCCCTTTCACATCAGAGCCCACTCATTTCACATCAAGAGTTACCACTAGTGGCACATTGGTCTGCAACCTCTATCTACATGTACTGTACGTATTAGTGAGTATACCAAACCAGAGATATAGGAGATTTGAAAATTGGAAATTAGATTTTTGTACTTTTGGTTTCGAAGCCAGAGAATGACAGCTGAATGCGGAAGTGATGTAATATACATCACTTCCGCATTCAGAGAACGAAGCAGAGATCAGAGGGAGATTGTGTGATGATCTCCCTCTGTTCTCCGGTGACAGAGCCGCCGTGCAGATCTCCGGCCTGCAGCAGGCACAGCTGAGCTTGGGATCGGCGGCGGAGGGGGGGGGGGCGCACACCCACATGCATAATACAAGAGATCCAGCGTCTCTTCAGTTGTCGGACTGCTTGTATGTAAATAGCCATCACTGGCTGTTTACAATGTAAGCAGTTTTCCCACCCCGCTGGGTGGCGAGCACAAATGGGACAGGCAAGGACGTCTACAATTGCCCACTCACATTCAAGAACCTCCGAGCCGGCCGTTTAATTACAACGGGTGGCCGGTAAGCGGTTAAAGAAGTTCCTACCACATTATTTGTAGTTGCATAAATTGGGAAATCCTGTTGCATAACATCAAAGATTGTCGTGTGTTTGCCATGCAAATACGTGGCAGAACATGGCAAAAACAGCTGAAACCTTTAACAATAATTGCAACAATGTCAACAAAACAAAATGTTACAGAACATTGATTGAGGAGCCAAAAAAAAAAGAATTCTTAGTGTGGAAAGTAAAATGTTACTGAAATTTGATCAAAATGCAATGTTTATTATGTGGCATCTTAAGGTTCCTCAGTTTCTGATTGGATAAGGGCCAGAGCTGCAGAAGAACACTAATGGCATTCAAATTCTTAGACCTCCAGGACAGAGCTTCAGACCTTGTTGTGGCTGCAATCTCTGCCACTTCTATTGTTTCCACTAAACTATGTAGTAAAGCTTTGACATCTTTGAATTACCTCTTTAGTTGCAAACACACAAATCCCTCCCTTGAGAAGTGTTAAAGTAGTATTAAAGGAGAACTATGGGGTTAAGGCTTTTCCCCATAGTTCTCCTTAGGGTAACGGGAGGACACAAACTAGCATCCTCCCGTCACCCTAGGCTCAGTATACCGCGAGCTACAGCTCGCGGTATACTGAGACGCCGCAGTATTGTGATCGTATTGTAATCGTATTGTGGAACCTGGCCTTGGGGCGGCAGGGAGAGTAAATCCGGCCCTGTAGAGGTGTTGTATAGATCATAAATGAAAACACTATTAGCTGATTGATCTTGTATAGACCAAATTAACTAAAACTCTTAGATGATGTTATAGGCTTAAATGTATACCAGGTGTGTTTGCTTTATTATTGGAGCTTGCGTTCACACCATTTACAAAGCTCTCCACCCCCAGTATGTCCTGGTACTCTTGCAGCAACAATCATTCATTGTAAAAGTTTTACTTGAAGAGAAGGGAACGGCTGTAGGAGGACAAGATATACAAAGGACAGTCAATAGTGTGTGAGCTGGGGTTCATGGATCATGTTCATTCTGTGTCTGCTTTTCTCAGATTTCCCTTCAGTAAACTGCATTAATGTGCTATTTTTTAAATCTCAGTATAAACATAAAATCTGTAAAAGCTCTCATATACTCCCTTTCGTTACTTTCATTATACTGGCATTTTATTGTTAGATCGAATCATGAGTTAAATTATTTATACAGACCATTTCAAGCCCATTATGACATGTCAACAAGCTAGAGCATGGGTGCTCCTAAGGTCGATCGCGATCTACCAGTCACTGGTAGATCGCGATGTCCTCTCCTGCCGCCGCTCTCCCCATCTGTATGCAGCTGGGATCCGTTTGTTTCTTGCCTCGGGCGCAAAAGGAGCTGGCTATGGCTATGCTCCCACGGTGCTCATGCGGCTGCCGGCTTAATGTGTTAGACGCCGCAGATGGAAAGGGGCAGGACACCTCTCCCCATGTGCAACATCGGTCACATAAGCACCGCGGGAGGATAAGACACCGGGGCCTCTAGGACGCAGTGGAATGTAAGCCGGCCGACTCCCTGCATTCAGGGGCGGGAGGGGGTGTGGGGTTGTATTGAAGTCAATGGCACAGAAGCCATGCCTCCCACCCACAGTGCGATCGCCCGCACCTGGAATGCAGGCACATTAGTACCTGCATTCCGGTCCAGTGCGATCTGCAAAAATAGTGCTCGCAGCATTTTTGCGGATAGCACTGGACTGGAACGCAGGCACTAATGTGCCTGGGTTCCGGGTGCAGGCGATCGCACTGTGGGTGAGGGGCATGCCTGCGGTGCCATTGACTTCAATGCACCGCCGGACCCCCCTCCCGCCCCTGAATGCAGGTGCTTTTTCGTTAGTAGATCTCATTGAGCTCGTCATTTTAAAAGTAGATCTCTAGACGAAAAATTGTGGGTGCCCCTGAGCTAGAATGTGTAACGAATGACCTCTGTAAATACAAATCTACACGTTTTACAAAAAGGCCCCACCAAGGGATCAAGAAAGTTTTATTACTTTTTGTATTAAAAATGAGGAAATGGGTCATATAACTTGGATGTTGATATGAAACCACAAACAACAATGTATAATGACTGTGTTATATACAATATATGGTCCTTTAAGAGCTGGAAGTCTCACATGTCATTTGTGCATCTTCATAAAGAGAAGATGGGTCCTGTTCACTGTTCTCAAAACCTTTAGATACGGTAACATTTTCATACTTTGGCTCTGAATCTTCTCTTTCATCTGGGCTTTGATAAATGTGTTCATTATTTGGAGCTTGTTGCAGGGTTAACGGTTCCTGCAAGTTAGAATACATGTTATCCTGCTTCTCAGAGATGCTAGTCCACTCAGATCCATGTGTATCTTCAGGAACATTTTTAAGCATGGAAGATGTTTGAATAATTGCTTTCTTATTTGTGTTGTCCTGTAATTTACTAGCAGGGGAGCCTTTATTTGTGATTTGTAAATCTTCCTCAAAAGTGCTCTTTATCTGTGAAAGTTTGGAGTTTGAATGCAGCAACAAACTTTTTCTAACAGGTTTTGGAATCCCTTTCTGAAAACTGCCAAAACGTTTCAGAACAGCCTGGACTGCCCCATCCATATTGCCTTCTGACCTTCTACGTGGTTTGTAGGGCTTTCGAGGAGGACCAACACTCACATAAACAGTTGTAAGGTTATGGCTTTTCTTTTTTGCTTCTGAACTATCTTTTAACCCAGACTCTGTCGACTCAGCTTTAAAGATCGGCTTTTGAGCATTAGACATTGTCCTTCGTCTCCCAGTTGGAGCACACCTCTGAAGCCTGGGATGATCTTCTGAAGGTTCTAGATTAGGGCCTACTTTGTCATAATGATCTGTGCTATCTTCGGACTGCTGTGACTCATTTCCAGTAAGTGTCTGAGACTGTATAGATGGCAGTTTTGGGAGGCTTATGGCCAGTTTTGGCTTTCTGGCAAGATTAGGTGTATCAGTTGTGGAAGATCTTCTACTCCCAAACTTGGTCCCTTCAGCAAATGACACAGATGGCCTTTTCGATTTGGCATTACTTGATGTCCTGGGAATGGAAAACTCTTCTGCACCGAAAGCCATCGCTTCAGGAAACACATTACATTTGGAACTTATCTCCTGAAATCCATCAAGATCAGCAACAGATAATCCTGTAAAGTAGAAGAATAGACATAATTTGTAAAATTCCAAGCATTATTCTAAGGTATAATTCTGGGGGTTAGAAATGTACCCTTAATAAATGCACACACTGCATGAATATCCCTAATACTTATGCTCAAAATTCCTTTTATCTATTATTAAACTGGAAGCAGAAAAGCTAACATGCAAGGGTCAATAAATTAGAAACAAATCAGATTCCTGTAAGGGAAATGCAATCCTATTTGAACAAATATTGTATATATAATAACATTTTAGGGCTATTTGTTGCCTCCGATTCTTTAGGTTGAATACATGTAGCTTTATGTCAATCTTTCCAAAACTGAGCTCATAATATTTCTTTTCCCCGTGCCCTTCTCTTGACTTTTCCATCAAGATCAGTCCCTCTTCTGTCACTATCCTATCGTGCCTCCTTTACCTTCGTAACATTTCCAAAATATGCACCTTCTTAACCAATGACACTTCCAAGCTATTAGCTCACTTACTTCTTATCTTTGCTTTGACTGTTGCAACTCCCTCTTCACTGGCCTATCTCCACAAAGGCTATCTCTCCTTTAGGATAAGGAAACCTTTTTGCCAATCCCTGCCCTGGCTCCTGTTAGCCCAACAAATAAAATTCAAAATACTAACAATAACATCAGGGCCGGATTTACTCTCTCTGCTGCCCCAAGGCCAGGTTCCTCAATGCACCCCCCTACCCGCCAACCCCCCCATGGATAATGGCAGAACTGCAGGCTGCATACAAGTAATCTCGGCGAAATCGCTGGGATCACTTGCACAAAAAAAGCGGCAGCTTCCCCGCTGTACATTAAGCTCCACTTGCACAAAGCAAGGCTAAATGTAGAAAACAGCTACCCGCCCAGCGCCCGGAACTGCATGTTCCGGGCATCGGGAGATAAGAATTCCACACCCCAGCTGCCCCAAGGCCGGGCCTTGGTTGGCCTTGTGGGAAATCCGTCCCTGAATAACATGCAACGCCATCCACAACTCTGCCCCTAGCTACATCTCCAACCTCATCTCAAAGCATCACCCTAAGAGGATATCCTAAGTATCCTCTTCGCTCCACCAAGACCTCCTGCTTTATAGCTTTCTTGTCAACTCCTCTCATGCTCGCCTCCAGCACTACTTCAGTGTCTCTCCCATCCTGTGGAACCTTCTACCTCAATCTATCTGCTTATCTCCTACTCTGTCTGCCTTTAGACGATTCTCCCGAAAACTCATCTTTTCAGAGACGCTTACCCAACCTCTAGCTAATATATGATTTTTACTTTCTTCATCAACTCCCAACACAGTTATTACTATTTTGGGTCACTTGCCCCTCCCTTTTATATTGTAAGCTCTCACAAGTAGGGCCCTCATAACCCTCTTGTCTTGATTTGTATTGTAAATGTACTGTCTCTCTTTATATTGTAAAGTGATGCACAGACTGTTGACACTATATACTTCCTGTATAATGATAACAATAAAAAGTGGAAATATCTCCAGTAGGTGTTACAGTCCCCAGGAGTCCAACCTTTGTCAACTTTAGAATCACTTTCAAATAAAACTATTGTTACCAATCCAATGCATGCATGGAAATAATAACCTCTCCTAATCATAACCAGGTGAGAGGCTGCTGTCTATAACATCTGTAGGACATGAGAGCCACATGTGGGTTCTGAGCCACTGGATGGTACCACTGCTTTAAACCCATTTTCTGCCTAAACTTCTTATTTTGTTTTGGATAACAAAGGGAAGGTTTAGAAGCCCTGTCAAGTTGCCTGTTCAAAAATCTTCTCCAACAGGCAAACATTTTGCTGTCTGTGCTTTCCTTTCATGGTAACACTTTATTCTCTAATTTTCTGTATAATGTCACAGGAACAGGAAGGAAAGGAAAATATCCCACATGGGTCACTGACAGAAGTAGCAACATAGAAGAAATGTTACTTTTTCTCATCTAAAAAAAATGGCTGGAGTTAAACTTTCACATATTACCAAAGAAACCAAAAAAACACACACGTGGTCCTTCTTGGATTACAAGTGATATTTGAAAGTATATAGCTTTTATTTATGATTTTGTTTTAATAAACCAATCATACACCGATGCAGTGCAGCCACTCTATTCTTTCCTTTTAAACTTCTTTGATTGAGCTCTGCTCTTAAAATGCTTCCCCCTTATCGGTTTATTTCACTGCCTTGGTTATAAATAATACAACTATAGCCGTGCACATCAAAGAGACTGATTACTGGATTAACTAAACAATTTTAAAGGATAATGAAGAAGCAGCATTTATTTGTGATGCATTCACCACATTACCGCATTGACACTTCACAAATTGTACATACGTGTACCTGATTTTCGAAGTGCTTATATAACCAAGCATGGGGCGAAATGAGAGGGGTTTTTCCAAAACTCTAAAGGCTAGTTCACACCAGAAACTGCATCACAAATGCGTGCATATGCGCAGTTGCAGTGCAATCTGTTTTGACGCGTTTGTGATGCATTCCGATGCATTTTTTAAATTCTGCATACTCTTTAGTACATGGGTGGTATACAACTATCTAGCTGGGCTGTATATAAAACATCAAAGTTGCTGAGAAAGAGAACTCGCCACATTTTTCTTTTTGCACCCTGTTCAGACCAGAAAAAATCAGGGTATAATTCGGCAGTTATCTCCCTCCACTTTCCCTTCTTCTGCTGATTGTTTTTGTAGTTGGGATGCTTAGGATAATAAAGGAGTGGACACTCCTCCACATATTTTATGAAGATGTCAGCATCCACATCGGCCATGGCTCCAATATCTCTTCTACCTACAAAGAGGAAGTCCCTGGATGATGACACAATCAATCCTTTTTTGGGGGGATGCGTTCCGGTGCGTTTTGATGCATTCTGGTGCGATCCGATGCAGCTAAAATAGGACGAGCAGTATTTTTTCTGACTGCATCGGAACGGACTGCAATGGTGTGAATAGAGCACGAGAAAGCCCATAGGAAAGAATTGTGATGTATTTTGGCTGCAGCAGCCAAACTGAACGGAGTGCATCACAGCTGCATATGGTGTGAACTAACGCTAATAGAGCCAGTGCCCATTTAGGACCAGCTTTAACCATTTTGTAACCAGTTTTGAAGCTTAGACACCAAGGATAAGTTTTGCAGAACTGAAATGAATCAGTTAAAGTGTACTTAAACCCAAAAACAAAAATGTAACCTATTGCAGCTTGCCAAACCTAAGAACTTGTGACTACATTTATTTTTTGTTTTCAAATTTTTGTTTCCTATATTTTGGACTTGGTGATTCTGCCAGTAACACACTTTCTCTCCTAGGGTGACAATGCTCACTCATTGTACTGTATCTTTGGAGGAGCAGCATTGTTACCCTGGGACATGAAGAGTGTTAGAATTGAAACTGGCTGTATTCCCGACGCCGGTCCACACAGGTTCCTCTGCCGAGATCCTCTGCCTGGATCCTGTAAGGTAGGAGATGAAATCTTCTGAATGGCCCTGAATCTGATCCTTTGAGTATGCAAAAGTAATATTTGTAGTTCTAGCTCAACTCACTCTGTCTCAGCCAACTGCATCACTACCCACTTTCATGTACGGGGGTCCATATCCACAAAGAGAGACAATCCAGGAGATTACCGGGGCTGCGTGACACAGCTGGCCTGGGATAGCTGGATAATGCAGTCGCCGCAGGGTCGCTGTGTGACACAGCTACCCCAGGATCACTGGGTGACACAGCTGACCTGGGGTCGCTGGGTGACATTGCTGCCCCAGTGTTGCTGGGTGACACAGCTGCCCCGGGATCGCTGAGTGGAGCGGCTGCCGCAGGGTCGCTGGGTGACACGACTGCCCTGGAATCGCTGGGTGTCACACGACTGCCCCGAGATCACTGGATAAAGTGGCTGACCCCGGGTCTCTGGGTGACATGGCTGCCCTGGTGTCGCTGGGTGACACGGCTGCCCCTGGAATGCTGAGTGACGCGGCTGCCGCAGGGTCGCTGGGGGACACGGCTGCCCCTGGTATCACTGGGTGACACAGCTCCCCCGGGGTCTCTGCACTCTGTATGTTACTTACTTTTGACCTCTGCACGCTGTGCGTTACTTACTCCTGACCTCTGCATGCTGTGCGTTACTTCCTTCTGACCTCTGCACTCTGCATTGACCTCTGCAAGAATTTGGTCACAATAGCCAAACCAGAAAAATGTTGCCATTTAGCTCACTTTCCACATTGTCTATATTGGTCTAGATTTTGAAATTCTACAAATTTCCCCTTTTAGTGAATAGACCTGCTATTTTGAATATAGTGTGGGGCCAGATAATTTCATATTGCCCAGGGGCCCCATGTGTTGTCAGTCCGCCCCTGCTGATAACAGTCAGCAAAGGCAGAGAGCTCAGAACTTTATCACCTCACTAGCAGGGATCAACAGGCATGCTCTTCTCTTTTTGATAACAGATATGCAAAACACTTTAAATTGTATATACACTTATTTGACAGTGACTCCAAGGCTATTTATCTGATTGATAGCGGGTCTTAGGGCTTGTTCACAGCATATACAGTGCGTTCCAGCACAATTAGCTGTTGGAACGCACTGTATCGCATCCCGGCCGGCTCCCTGTGTTCTGGGGCAGGAGGGGGCATGGTGGTGCATTGAAGTAAATGACACTGCAGCCACGTCCCGTGCCCGCAGTGCGATCGCCTGCACCAGAACGCATGACACATCAATGCCTGCAATCTGGTCCAGTGCGATTAGAAAAAATTGTGCTTTCAGCATTGGCAGTGCCACGCAGGGAGCCGGCCAAGATGCAATACAGTGCGGTCCAGCAGGAGTTGTGCTGGAACGCATTGTAAGTGGTGTGAACAAGCCCTTAGATATTACACAGTTGCACATTTTATTCTCTGCTAATGATCCGGCCGAATTTTGCATGGTGGGTGCTGCTGTTAGCACCCTTTCACCCGGCATGCCTCGATCAGCTGATTGAAGGAGCTAGTTGGAAAATTCGCGGCCAACGGAGTTAGCAGCTTAGTCTATGAGTAAGCCCATTATTGGTGGAAACAAGTCAGAGTGAATAGGATATACGGCAGGACGATGTGTCTCTATGTGCTTTAATACATTTTTTAGCGAAACTTGTGGTGTGCAACTGGATGTTTTTTCTGTAAGTAACTGCCGATGATGGACCAAGATGGGCTCGGGCAGTGTGTACCCACCATTCTCTCTAGTGCTGCTGTGAAGGAGCAGTGATTTTGGGCTATGGATGGTGTCTGTTCCATAGTGCTCCGATCAGCAGGGAATCTGTGATTTCAATCCCCTTCTGATCAGAGTGGACAGGTGCCCGTGTGAAAGGGGCCTTACAGGGAACAACCTTGGCATATCATAAATGATATATCTATACCAATATGTTATGTATGCAAGGCAAAGTGATTTATCAACTCCAAAGCCAGTTATTTTTTCTGTATCTAGTTTATACGTCTCCACAATATAGTGAAAACCTATACCTATGCACTTATAGCTATAATTAGAAAAACATATATGTCACCTTCTCTGGGAGGAACACAATAGACCGGGCATTCCTCATCTGACTCGAATGATGAAAATGAGTTCTCAGAGATCCAGCCAGTGGAGGGGGATTCAATGAAACTGTGATTGAAAGGAAGTTCTGTATCATGGTGAGAAACTGAAATATAAAAACAGCTTGAACTGAATAGGCATAACTTCAACTTCTTTTTCAAAATTAGACAAAAAATAAACATTGCTTGATTTATTACATTTTAATATATTTTTGTAGAATGTTGTCACAAACCAAAGTGATCAACAATAAGGTACCATTGAGCTTTTTTTCTTACCGGTAACCCAGGAAACTTTATTGTTCCCAATAGAACAGCACGGCAAGAGGGAGCTTATGTTCACTAAGGCACCCTGGAAATTGTGCTTCATTCTCGATAAACACCCTTTGTCTCCATTAGACACTCTACAGTGAAAAACAGATGTGAATGAGTATACCACTGGGAGCCAGTAAATCAGTAAAGTCTCTATAACCCAGCAAATCACAATGGAATTTTGTACAAAGGCATAACTAATAGGTAAAAATAAAAGACTTTATAGTCGCAGCATTTTTGAGTCTTCTACCGTCTATGAGAGAAATACTAATTGTTCTCTTGCTTAAAGATAATAAGGGCCCAGTCCTATCATCCAATTTCCCTTATTAACTTGTATGTCAAGATCCTGGACAAAGGCATTGCTTTGAGAATTAACCCATCCATTACTGGTGGCAAGTGACCAGTCAGTTTTATACCAGGTAGATCTACCAGAATGAGCATCAGATGTCTATTCCATAACCTGCAATTTCCCTATTCAAACTACTGGAGCAATTATCCTCTAAGACACAAGAAAGGAGTTTGACAGTGTGGAATGGCCTTATGTATTTGCTGTTTTAGGCCCAAATAAACTAAAATGGATTCAGTTATTATATATTGTTCCAGTAGCCAGAATCTAAATCCATCAAAGCATTCCTGATGCCTGCTCCATCTGTAAAGGCAAGAGGCTGGGGTGTCCCCTATCATTTATCCTATATGCACTAGACATAGAGCCCCTAGCCATGTTAATACGGAATTCTCCTGATATCAAGGGACTTTGTGTTAACTTCCTGGCGGAGCGCATTTTTCTATATGCAGATGATGCCCTGATTTATCTTGCTGATCTGTAGAGTTGCTTTACACCAGGCTGGTTTAGCCTTCCCTAATTTCCAACTGTACTATTTGGCTTCCCAGCTAATTTACATCAATGCAACTGAGGCAGCCATAATGTCCTCTTACGAATCCCTGTGTAGTTTGATAGAAATCCATTGTTATCTATACCAGGTTACCACGTTCTTAGAACTTCCCTAAAAATCCTTCGCCAAGTAGTCAAATTGTTACCCCATGATATCTGGTCTATTTCTTTGAACAACCCTACTTGGGACAACCTATTCCTACCACATTACTTTGCTATTCCTCATTCTGAATCCTGCTATGCTAGAAATACCAAATACCTCCATCAGTTGTTTCATGAAGTCAACTTGAAGTCTTTGTCTCAATTGTTTGTGCCCAGCTTCATAGAATCCTTTTACTACATACAACTCTAAAATGCTACCAAAATGCAACTGTACCTATCTGGTATTACCCTTTTCCCCACAACCCTGGAAAACAATCCTGAATTCCGGTCCATACAAAGTGATCTCTTTCTTTTACTTGATTTTAATGTGTACCAAAACTGCCAAATTTGAATGTGCCAAACAATGTTGGGTTCCCCTTTTACAAATGACCAAAATAACAGAGAATAGCTGGCAAGAATTTTTGATTTGACAATGACTGGACAATGAAGAAGAGCAGAAAACTGATAAATGTTATGTAATGTAAAAATGTAATGATGTTGTATGTCCGCTCTTCTTTCTCTTTTAAAAACACATATCATGAATCTCTTAATCTCATTGTAAGCATTTAGGAGTAGGTAATTCATGTTTGTGAATAATTAGCGAGATGATCACAGTGTTCATGGTTACTTTTTTACAGCCTTGTCCAACAAATACTTTGAAAGCTGAATAGATTACCTATTAGTAAATGTTGTAGTTTGTTAAATCACCACCAGGTGGCAGGCTGACACATTTGCAGGAATGCATAACCTTTACCTCCCAATGTCAGCAAGTGTACAGTGGGCGTTATTAGATTCGCTTTTGCTAGCACTGGGATTTCTCTGACATTTTTGAGTAATGAAACTGGTCTTTGGTAATTTTATGTGTCATATAACAGTGTCAGAACTGTGAGAAAGATTTGTTGTTTTCAGTATTTGTTTCATATTTACTCCACACCACATGTGACCAGGCTCCGCTTTAAAGGGCATGAATTAAAGCGGTGAATAGAAAACAGGCCTGATAATACATGGTACTCTATAGACTAGACATAATCAAGCATTGCCATTTCAACTAGTTACACACTGCATAAACATGCATTTATTATTATAGCTAATTATATAGCACTGCACAATTAAATCAGTCCCTGCCCTCGAGGAGCTTACAATTTAAGGTCCCTGTCTCACATGCATACATACCCAAGCTGACTTAAAGCAATTAAACTACCAGTATATCTTTGGAGTGTAGGAGGAAAGTGGAGTACTCAGAAGAAACCCACATAAGCAGAGTAACAACATGCAAACTCGATGTAGATAGTGTCCTGACCGTGATTTGAACAGGGAACACCCAGTGCTGCAATGCAGAGGTGCTAACTACTAAGCCACTGTACTGCCCACATACATCTTGATGTCATGGGAATCTGGACTTTCTGTGAATACGTGCAAAACGCAGAAAAAAAACCCACACGCTTTGACGTGCGCTCACGGGACGCATCAAAAATGTGCAACACACTTGCGGTGCCATTACCTGTTAATGGCACCCCAAATGCGTTCAGGAAAACAAGCACTTTCCTGCACGTTCACGTGCTTTAAATTGCATACAAATGGGTGGGGGAAAAACGTGGGACCTGAGTAACAAACAACATAATATGACTGAGTCCTCTATAAAAGTCTATAAAAGTTTGTATACATGCGACTCGATTCATGAAGCTTTAACAGAGGAGTAAGTATCTTTATTTTAGTCATGTGCCTGTTATTTTTAACACTTATTGGATTCAAATGACTGTCCCTTTTTTTAAAATAAGTAAGTTTATATCTGGTGTGTTGAGCCTACTGCCTAAAAATAAAGTCAGTGAAGAGGTTTGTGAAGAAGCTTCCTGCTATGATTTGAGAATTTGATTAGGGAAGTAGATTACCTGTTTTTATTGTCCATTTGATTGTTCCCACAGCAACAACAACAGCAGCAGATGATGAAGAGCAGGCACATGGGAACGAGAACTCCGGCTATGATTGCTTCCTTCTGGCTGGATGCTGTGCAGGAAGATCAGATATGTTCATTAATGAATGCATGCCAGTAGAGAACCCCTGTCTGGATTGTACTGCTATCCAGGATTTTTTTTTCTCCTCACTTTCTGTCCTGCGTACAAGGGATATTACTAGACAGGAAGTGAAGGAAAATCTGCAACAGGTAAACAGACAGAAATAAAAATCTATCAGGGGTTCTAACTAGGGATGCACTGATACCGATACTAGTATATATACTCGTATTTGCCCAAATGCTCCGATACTTACCCTCAATACCAGAACCTCCGGTCAGAGGGAGATTTCCTCTGACCGGCTGTGCCGCGGGGAAACATGGAGCCGGCTTCCTGGCCAATCAGGAAGCCGGACAGCGAGTAATGCAAAACAGCCGGCTCAATGCTGATTGGCTGGGAAGCCGGCTTCCTGGCCAATCAGCATCAAGCCGGCCAAACAGCATGGAGCTGGTTTCCCGGGCAATCAAGAAGCCCGGCGGCGGGTAGTGACACGCCTCCTGGCTTTCTGATTGGCCTGGAAGCCAGGTCCATGGTAGCGGAAGTATCGGTGCTCGGTATCGTCGAGTCCCAAAAGATAAATATCGGTACTCATACTCGTTACCGAAAAACTGGTATCGGTGCATCCCTAGTTCTAACCTTCCCCTACTCTAAAACCATTTTTATTTTTGTCCGAGAGAGATCCCATCACATTCAGTCAGCAAAACATTTTCAGCAGGACAGGAAATTAGGGGAATGTCTCTAATGGTACCAGAGATAGCAGTAAAAATCTGGCAGTGGTTGCAACTCTTACCCACCCTATCCAAAACTAACAAAATAGGTTTTGCCTTGGCATATTAAACAGCCCCGATGCTGGCGACGTACACTGTACGTCGTCAGTCACGAAGGGGTTAACTGACTAAATTAAAGCTAAACAAGTCGTCTCAAATGGCAAAATGTCACAGTAATAACCTTTGGGGAAAGAAGCATGGGAGCTGCCACTTTTGACTTATTTTTATCATGATTTGGCCTCTGTACCTAGAGAGTCACTGACCTGGAAAGTAGAAAAAAGTGTTTGTAAATGGTTCTAGATCCAGTTAAAATATTCTTTATTTATTCAAGGCATGAAACAAGACATACCGGTCTAACTAACGTTTTTCAGCCAAAAGAGGTCTTAATAATAGCTATGATTAAGGTCTCTTTTGGCTAAAGCACGTAAGCAGGACTGCCATGTTTGTTTTTTTGCCTTGAATATATAAAGAAGATTTTAACTGGATACAGAACCCTTTGCAATCACTTTTTTCAACTGTTTCCAACTGTTTCAGAACCTGCACCTTTAAAACAGGGGATCCCTTTAAGCGGCTCCCGCTCCCACAGCTCTCTCTTCTTGTTCTGGTGTCAGGAACAATAACATCAGAATAAACTTGATACAGCTCTAACAATACATACTAAAACGGGTCCTGGACTTTTAAAAGGTCAGTTTCACCTTTAGTGAAGAGGAGCTAGCCTCGGACATGGTTCTATAGCAGTGATGGCTAACGTTTTTGAACACGAGTGCCCAACTGCAACGCAAAATCAATTTATTTATTTCAAAGTGCCAACACTGAAAATAAGTTTGGTATTGTGTTTTAGTTTGGGCGCTGGCATCACTGCCTGAGGGTTATGTAGGGAAACACACATATTTAAACATTTATAAAAACATAATGATTAATAATAATTAAAAATTGCCCCCTCTCCTGCTTACCTGTTTTGCAGGGAGGGGGGCTGCATACCTGGGGTACAGTGGGTCACTTGGGGATTATCCTGGTGGAGGATAAGTGTGATCTGCATCTCTGGCCTGGACAGACCATACTAATCTCTCCTTCCTGTGAGCGGTGAGGGAGCAATTAGTATGGTCTGCATCAGCAAAAGATGCAGAACATACTGATCCTCCACTAGACCAACACAAGATGATATTCATTCAATATATTGACAGTTCGGCAATATATTAACCCCTTCATGACTGAGGCCCTTTTTTCAATTTTTGCACCCATGTTATATTCCACATTTTAGGCCTGAAAATGACGTAAAACCCCCCAACATTATATATTTTCTGAATGCCAAGACCCTATAGTAAGTTTAAACAGACTCCCGGCGGCAAAAGTCGCCGGGAGTCTGTTTAAACAGCCCCGGTGCTGGCGACGTACACTGTACGTCGTCAGTCACAAAGGGGTTAAATAGGATCCGGGCACCTTCCAGGTTTAAAGATGATTGCCACCAAACTCAATATGACGTGGAGACCGGTGGGACACCGGAGACCTGCCCGGGACACCCCACAGGAGTGTTGACATTTTTTTTTTTTTAAACTACTTGTCCAAGGACTAAAGCAGGGGCTAATCTACTTGTCCCTCGTGACAATCTACTTATCCTGATATAAAAATTATTTTAACCAAAACTGTATTTAAATATTGATAGCAACTTTATTGATAGCAACTTAGAAGACAGACCTAAAACTACTTTAATGCAATCAACAATCATAAAGCATAGACCTGCATCCAGCACATAGGCCGCAACTTGGACACCAGGGATCTAAGCAAACAAAATCTATTAATCACATTCAAAGCCAATCCACAAGTCACAAATCCAGCAGCGACCAAGCAGGGTGTCACTCGTATGCACGCCATTACGTTAGACGTGACATCATTACACATGCATCACCTCTCAACCGTCTGCCTCAATTCTTGGACTGCGCCTCTGACAGGTTGTGGTCCTGCTGCCTCCGGTTCTTTAACCAGTTGCTGAAGTGGGTGAGGGACAGGCCGGTGATCTTGGCCAGGTTCTTCTTGGCAGTGGAGGATGGCTAGTGGTCTTGAAGAGCTTTTTGAGCGCGTTGCGGATTGAAGCAGTAGACGTCTGCTCTCCATCCTAGATAGTGCACGGCAAGGGGTCCCCCATGGTTCTCCCGACCACAGGAACCGGGCCAGCCTGTCCAGGCCCTCGCCTTGTGGCAGAGCCTCACACACACACAGACAACTTGCTTTGGGGGAAAGACCAGGGTTAAGGTAAAAAACAAAACTTTAACCCTGTTGCTTGCCCGCATCAGGGCTAAATGTAAAAAAAACACTTGCCGGGCGATAGGATTTGAGCATCCCGGACCCCAGGTGAGAACCTAGAGTGTGCGGGCTCTGACAAATGGCACCTAGGCTCATGTGCCACCAGGGGGGCCTCTGTATGCCCTCTGTGGCACATGTGCCATAGGTTCGCCATCGCAGTCCTATAGGTAAACCGTACATCTAGGGACCGTTGGAGGCCGTCATGAGTATGTCTCCTCATAGGAATAAATCAGGCCATAAAAAGGAAATAAAATCTAATTTCCTGTGCTCCTCAGCTCCATAAGCGGCCAAACGTGTTATTTTCTGATATAACATTCGACTTGGAAAGAAAATATACTAATAATATTTGTTTTTGTCTGCATGCGCACAGAATGTGCATGCAATTTTCCAGGGTGAATGGCTCTGCAAATTGTTTAAAATACACCCCTTAGCACATGGTGGAATAAACCTAAATACCTTTTATTTAGGTAATTAAATCTTAAGTGCTAATGGGATACGATTCCTTTTACATTGTATACAGTATATCATGTATGTAATTCGATATTACAGAGTCTTTCCTGCATAATTCATGGCTCATGCATACCTAACGGTATGTAAAGTTGGTGTATGCCCTCTTCTCCCTATCATACTGACCTCTCGGTCATTTCATCAGACTTTAACGCAGTTTTATCACGTATATGAGGATGGCAGCATCTTCACAAAGTGGCATGTTTAGGGTGCACCACCTGCCCATGCAACACCTGACTGGTCTCCTCTGCTGGGTTGACATGACATTGACATTGACAACAACGTCTGACAAGAAATATTTACAGTATATAAAGAACTCTGGTCGGAAATGATACAAGATGTACCCCATTCATAATTATGAAGACAGGATAGAAATGCTATTTATAGTAAGAAAGGGACTTACTGAGCAGACAAGTTCCATACATTGGATTGCAAGGACCACCATCACATTCACAGACATTTGAACAGTTGGATCCAAAAAAGCCATGTGGACATGTCTCATTGCAGCTAAAGTATATAAAAAAAGAAAACACAAAGATACTATAATGTCTTTGAGAAGTTTAATGTCATGACATTTTCATATAAGAAATGTAGAGAATACCATTACAATCTGCTATCAATGCAAATAGAATATATTACAGAAAGGATGTGTGTGCAATAGATCTGGAGCTATTATCGCTATAGAATCATATGGTAATATAAATGACAAAAGTTTGGTATAATTCTATTATGGGGATTGTATTTAACCATGGGCAGCACAGTTGCTTAGTGATTAGCACTACTGCCTTGCAGCACTGTGGGTCCCCGGTTTGAATCCTGGTCAGGACACTATCTGCATGGAGTTTGCATATCCTCCCTGTGCTTCTCTTGGTTTCCTGCTACACTCCAAAGACATGCCAATAGGCTAATTGGCTCCTGTCTAAAACTGGTTCTAGTATGTATGAATGTGAGATAGGGACATTAGATTGTAAGATTTGGAGGGCAGAGACTGATGTAAATGTACAACATATACATTGTTGGTGTTATATAGTAGCTCACACCACTTCTTAATCATGTGACAGATCGCTGTGTTAAAGAGGAACTAAAATCAGAAAATAAAAACCTGTGAGAAGGCAGGCTCTTTTTATGCAGAAGAGACAAGTTATGTCCCTTCTGCAATAACAGACACTAATCTGCCTGTTCACATTCTTCTTCAAAATGTATACTGAGCTGTGCACAGAGCAGAGTAGATTAGAGACAATCAGAAAAACATTCCACATTATGCCCACTAGACATAGCCGATGCTAAATGCTTGTTTCCTATGCTCCTCAGCTCCGTCTAGTGGCCTTAATGTGGTATTTTCTTGATATTACATTTGTCCTGGAAAGAAAATATACTAACATTCGTTATTGCACCATTTACACAGAAAGAATGTACATGACAGTTTCGAAGGGTGAATGGCTCTGCACATTTTGTATAAATACACCCCTAGTTGTAACATTTTTAGAGGTCAAACCAGACTGAAAACATATTTTTTTCTATTTTTTGAATTATTTTTGCCTTTCACATACATAAAAAAATAAAATAATTCAAATAAACAAAACCACTAAAAAAAAGCTTTGTTTGTTCAAACAATACAATGCAAAAAAATGTAATCGCTTCTGTATCATAAGTATTTTTGATACTGGAAAATGAATAGGCCCATAGCTCAAATGTAAAAATGGTTCTGGAGCTGGTTAAAAAAGAACTTGCAAATGTGTGCTGAGTAATGACCAAAATTATTTGAAGTTAATTTATTTATAAATAAATGTATTTAATTTATTTATTTTTGAAGTGCGTGTTCTCATTTCCTATCAGAACATTCCCTGTTAATACATGAGTACTGCAGCACAGCTGACATCCTCCATATGCTGCTTCTCCTTCTCCCAGGCTGAGTGCTTCTGTACATAGGCTTGAAAAAGGCTGATACCCAAAAAAAAACAGGTACTATATGTGCCTGGAGTTCAGCTTTACCAGAACATCATGCCATGAACATAAATATTTTATGGGGGACAACCTTATTCTGTATAAACAGTCTCTTACCTCTGCTTCCAGTGTCCCAAGTCACAGACACAGTCCCCTGTTACTGGGTCACAGCTCCCATGAATGCACAGGGGACAAAGATGTTGGCATCTATCCCCATAACTTCCCTCCGGGCAGCTGAATTCACATCTTGAAACGAAAGTGGTGTCATTAATATGCGTTCCCTCAGTCAAATATTACCCATAAGAAAGGTTATGTTGCTTTATCAATGCTTGCCAACTACACATATTGGCAGCATAGTGGCTTAGAGGGTAGCAAGTATACCTTGCATCACTGAGGTGCTGGTTTTTCAGGGATACCAGTTATATGGAGTGTGCCTGAATCTGGTGCTCCAGTTTTCTTACAAAGAGAATTAATTATGAATTTATACAACACCATCATGTTCTATGGTGCTGTACAGAGGCAGGGGTGTCATTGTTTCAAGGTGCAGGCCTGGCATTTTATTTTTCTGCCAGGGTTTTATAACCCATTTAAGATAGGTCCCATACTTTGGCTGCTGGTAGCTGGCTATGGCACTCAAAACCCTGTTTGCCCTGGATATTGGGAAGACTTAAGCGAAGAGTCCTTGGATGAACACTGGAAGGACTGGATTGGACACTCTCAGAGATTTACCTATGTGCAGGGGCTACATAAGCAATAAGAAACAAGATTCCCCCTAGGGGGAGAAGCAGAGTATTCTTCCTTTGGGTAGTTTTGCCAGGAGAACTGGAACTTTGAGCTGGAAAGAGAGAGGGATGGTATTTTACTATACTTCAATCAATGGGTCTGAATCTGGTTGGTGAAGTGAACAGAAGAAATGTGACAAGAAAATGTTTGTGGATAATTCTTAAATTAAGTATATGCTTTATGGAAGAAGCTTCCTTGGACTTAGTCTTCTCTTCTTCTACCTCTGGAGATCATAGTTAAGTCCATACCTGAGGTACAGATTATGTGAACCAGCTCTCATTGGGAAACGGGTAGTTGGCCTGTCAACTGACTACCTCTGCTGCAGTCTAGAATATACGGGTCTCTCTTCTCTTGCTTTCTAGGCCACATAATCTTGAGCTCTGCTGTGAAGGTGGTGTTGGTGTGCAGTTGTATTCTTGGGGCAGTGACCTTGAGTTACTGGTTGAAGAGAGGCCTCTTGTAAGTAAAAGTTTCCAAAGTTCAGAATTAAAACTGTGAAGATTTGAGCCTTGAGTTATCTTTTGTGGGGGGGTCTCCGACCCCCCATAACTGGAGCACATAAAAGATTGCCCCGTAAGTTTTAAAAATGCACAAACCTGCAATAATGGAGCTGTCACATGTTACTCTCAGAAAGGCACCAACTACAGGCACACTATTAATTGCAGCACATAACCCCATCAGCCTCTGAGTAGAGAGTAAACAATTCAGAAGGCAACACCATCCAGCACATTTTCTGGCATTTGAGGATTGTGGGGACAAGAGGAGAGGGCATACAGAATCACTGGCAACTGAGAACATTGCTGCCAGAGCTGGGGAAGTAAATAATTGTGGGGAAATGAGGATGAATGTATGGAGAATGGAATTGTTTCTAGATGAATGAATATGTAATGCAAGGGTAAATGTTTGCTGGAGGCAGGGCTGGACAAATCCCAAGAGCCAGAACCCTAGCAGTATTTATTAGGGTAGCAAACATTGTACACCTACAAGCTCCAGTGGTGAAAATCTGGCCCTGTTTGTGTTCGGAGTTAAGGGTAGAAACTTAAATAAACCCTTAGTACAGCCATGGTGGAGGTGTGTGGCATACCCATTAGCCATGATGCTCTGAACCATGTCAAATTAGCCATGCTCACATCTTGCCCCTCCTTTTATAGTCCTGGAACTTTTTATTTAGAAATGCCCAATTGTTGGGGACTGTATAACAACTCTAAACTGGGGCACCATCATCAGCATTTGAGCTTCTGAAGCTGTACATGTAGGTTACCTGTTGCTGTGTTCAGTTATTAGACATACCGGGGTCCCATCCTTCCAGGATCACAGTTCTGACAGGTCCCTGTCACTGGGCTGCATACTTCATTTCCACGGCATTTCGGGCAGCTCTGTGCACAGTTCTCTCCATAATATCCAGGTGAACAAGGCATTTCACAACTTGTGCCATTCCAGCCAGGTTCACATGACGGGCAGGAACCATCAACTGGGGAACATGTCTGTCCTTGTTTACATTTTCCACAGCTAAAGAAATGATTTAAATACACGCACTTTTAGGTATTTTTCACATTTGTTGCTTTGCCATATTTAAGATTAATGCTTCATACACATATTTGTAGATTAAATACCAATGAAAGGACATAAAATCACTGTTCTACTAAGCAGGATTTATACCAGCCAAATATTTTATATAAAAAAGTTAAAACTGACATTTCAACATTTGTTTAATAGGAAACATTGATTCCTGAAGTATTGCCTATATACAAAGCTAGCAATTTTATCAGTAACTTTGCCATATTTCAACATTTTGTAGAAATATTTTATTTTTCCAATTTGCAATTTTGATGGGATATGACAGTTGGCAGGCTGTGCACATAAACTACAGAAGCCCGTAAGCAAATGCATATTTTATACATCTCATGATGATTTCTTTTCCTCTCATAATGTTTTATTTGGTTCCTGATTGTATGTACATGCCACCTTACAAGTCTGCCACCAATGGAGCATATCTACATTAGAAAGTTCCAAGGTTACATGTCACCATGTCATCACAAACCCGTTTACTCTAGATGACATCACCAACACTCTGAAAATGCCATGCTACAGCTCTTAAAAGCTAACTCCATCATTTTGCCTGTGTCCCCAATGGACAAACTTCTTTCCTGTCCTAGTGACACCTTGTTACACCCTGGCACCGCACGCATAGTGTCACTGGCATGAAAGTAAAAATAAAGATTAAAAAATAAGGTGCGTATTTCTGTAGGAGATATTTCCCTATTGACAGCCACTAAAACCTGATATAGGCTTTACCCCTTATACTCTGTCCAAAACAAACAAACAAAAAGTTTAGACTTCAGTTGGGCTTTGAAATGGGAAGCACCCTGATTAGAATCTGGCCCCTCAACAGAAGCCCCCCAGGTGAGTGGTGGAAGGAGTCCAACTCTAGCTTGATCAAAATGGATCCCGTTAACCCGCTTATAACCCTCTAACCTTTTCAGGCCTCAAAACAATGGCCTAGCCTGCACAGGCAGTATGTCTGCCCCTAAATATAAAAGACTACCACCATTCCTAATGGGCTTATACCATGGGTTGAAAGTTTTTATCTGATTGCTAAATATTCACTATCTTAGTAAAAGGATAAAAGTTGCGCCTGCCTGTCTTATGTTCTTTTAGGTTTCAAAGAGATGATGATATATAAGAATGTCACTATCAGATTAAACCTTACCTTCCTAATACTCCAACTCTCTTGGAGGTCTATGTCTCTTATTCATAGGACTCACCTATTTTCACATTTCGGTCCATAAGTTCCAGGAGTGCAAGGTTCTGCACATCTCTTTCCTTGGTAGCCACTGTGACAATCACATTCACCATTGATATGACTGCATTTTCCATGTACACAATCACACTGGGTTTCACATCTAGGACCATGCCAGCCTTCTCGACACTTGCAAATTCCTTTGGTTTGAAGACAGGGTGATTTGTTGCAGTTACATTTTATACCGCATCGCTGACCCCACCACCCACTGTTGCACATACACTGTCCGTTTGTCTGGTTACAGTGGGAAGTTTCTAGGTTACATGTACATTGCTTATTGCAATGCTGGGCCCACCAGCCTGGCTCACATTGACATGACCCAGTGAGAGGATCACAGGTTCCCCGTTGGTTACAGTGGCAGGTATGCTGACAATCTGGACCCCAGCGGTTAGGATAGCAGATGCATTGCCCGGTCACTCCATCACATTTCCCATTGGGATAGCAGGAACACCTCTTTTTACAGTCTGAGCCCCAATACTGGTCAGGACATGCTAACAAAAAAACAAAAAAAGAGAATAGGCTTCCATTATTTCCTATACAGTTTTTATTAATAATGAATAAATAAAAAAAAACGAAGGCATTTTGTACTACAGATGAAGACGTGCTGCTGATGAGCACTATAACCACTTGACTATAAAATAGAATATGTTTGTTTTTTTGCAGACTGTTAAGCTGTACAGGAGCCCTGCGGGCCACTTACACTAGTTGTGAGTAACGTGGGTGTTTGGATCATATCCCGTTGCCATGTAGTCATGAACATTGCTTATGTCTGAGAGAGCAGAATGTATTCTTCATGAAGTCCTGACCATGCTCCTGGTTTGGTAATATTGTAATACTGTGGTGATAAAAAGTGATGTTGGGCAACGGCCAACGGGAAGGATCTATCTATCTATCTATCTATCTATCTATCTATCTATCTATCTATCTATCTATTCATGCACTCATACGCAGTGAGTGCATGAAGTGTTTGCAGTTGGTTTATTATTAAAAGCAAACGCAGCATATTTATGGACGAACCAAGTTTTATGGAAAGGTGTCATATAAATTCCCATATATTTAGTGACTTCTGTGTACCACTAAATATTTAATGGTTTCCTCATCATGAAATTCATGGGGATGGCTATTCCTCTTGCAATTACTGCACATGCCAAGCATAATTTGTTACACTAACATTTTCCATGAATTCCTTGTCTCGGATCTTTTTGGTGATTCCTAGGCATTCATGCTCCAGTGTTGTCACTGGTTTATTAAAGAAATAGCCAACAATATGATTATCTCCATTGTTTTTGGCCAAACACATATGATTGAAAAAAAACTCTTTCAGGGGGAAAAATATAAAAGTTGAGATGCCTGCATATACTGTACCTGAAGAAGCCTCCAGAACACATATCATTGCCGAATTTAGGGCTGTTCTGACAGGCAAAGGATAAGCACTTCCTTATAGTGCCAGTGCTTGTCTGCCTCTTCCTGCCTCCTACACATTCATTTTCTCCTGTATGGGTTACTTTCATAGCGATGTGCCAATAGTAATGCAGGGGGGACGACTTAGCGGCGTGCTTCAACACTACCCAAATTTCGGCTATAAAAGGCTTGGAAGGCTGCTTCAGAGAACTTTATATCTGCAGCAGTCCCCCTCCTTTCAAAGTGATTCCCTTGACTCCGTTTGCATCATGACCTAAAGGTGACTTCTATCATAGCATAAGTTCTGCAATTTTACTCACAGCTTTAATTTTTGTGGGTCTGGCAGAATTACTATGAAATATTGTGGTTGGGAATCTCTTGTAAGCAGTAATAGTATTTATTCAGTGGCACACAATCAAAATGTGCTTCCTTTGTGTCCTTTTCATTGAAGCGTATCAAACCCAAACTGGGTGACATTTAAGCATGCCCAGGCACTGTGTATTATAAACATCTGGCATACCTTTTCTTTTAGAAAATATTGTTTTCAACTTTTTCCCAATGCTGTTGATCTCCTGAAGCCTTTTTTTGTGGTCATTTTTCTGCCTAGGTGCACTCGCTCCCGCTCCTGCTGTTCCCAAGACCTCCTGCTCTCTAGGTTCTTGTCAACTCCCCACATGCTCTCCAGAGCCTCTTCCATCCTCTGGAACGCCCTAGCCCAAACTGTGCAGCTATCTCCTACTCTGCCTTTAGGCAATCCTTGAAAATGTATCTCTTCACGGAAGCCTATCCTGCCTCTACTTACTGTAACAACCGAAATGCCATCAACTCATCTGCACAGTATTATCTTTGGCATCACTTTCCCCTGGCATAGAGGCTGCCATTGCTGACCTATCTTTCTTAAAATGTTTAGTGTCTACCTACTAAGATGAACCTCTTCAGTTCTTTGAGAAAAATACTTGAAGCAATCAAGCAAATAAAGAATTATGACTTCCATGCGTACTCTGAAAGTAATTAACCCAGTAGGTCAGTAAAAACTGATATACAGCAACAGCTTAAAACGTATTAGCTTTAGAAATAAATTGACCCCAGACTATTAAAACTTCTTTATAAAAGCCAGTTGCTGTACTCACGTGAATTGCAGTCAGCACCAAAGAATCCTGGCTTACAGCGACAGATTCCCGGTCTAATACAAACTTCATCTTTCTTGCATTCATCATCCCCCTCGCAGATAGCTAGAAGAAAGCAATAGACATTATTATAGAGAATTACCAAATACGTAACATAAGTAGAATCGCAAAGAGATAAATGAAAAAACAAACATGTCTTACTGTCTAAAATGATGCTGTTACTTTAAATTTTAACCTGTATTCCTTAAATCTACTGTCAGTCCACAAAAACAAATTGAAGCCTCTTTCACGTGGCCGTTCCAATCAGATCCATCTGTTAGTTTTTCAGGCAGACTTGATCAGAAGCTAAATGTTAAACTGGCCATTCACCTGTATATTATCTGCAGATTTTCTATGGTCAGATGGAAAAAGTGCAACAGATTCCTCCATCTACGCTAAACTGTGTGGATGAAGGAATCTCCCACTGGGCCAAGCTTCAGTATCTTGCTAGTCGGCCCCGCTGGTTCTCAAAATACCTAAACAATGCCTGCATCCAATCAGATTGTTCAGGTATTTTGACAGCCAGTGGGGCCGACTAGCAAGATACTGAAGCTTGGCCCAGTGGGAGATTCCTCCATCCACACAGTTTAGCGTGGATGGAGGAATCTGTTGCACTTTTCCCAGTTCACCATAGAAAATCTGCAGATAATCTAAATGGCCAGCTTAAGTCTATGGGCTGGCAGATGTAATTACTTGGGACTTCAATGGTAAGACCTCACCATAGCTCCAAACTCTGTTCCAGCCCACCTTGAAGTCTCTTGTTTTCTGCTACATGCTCTTGTTGCATTCTTAATTATATAAATTACATTTTAAAAACAACAAAGTTGGACCCCACTGTATTTTCCAAAGCAGTAGTGCAGGCCTGGAATAAGAGCAGAGATTCCTCTACTGCCAGCTTGGGAGACCCAAAAGGTACACTAAGGCGTGTTTTTATAAAAGCAAGATTTGCAAAAATTTGCACAATTTGCAAAACTGCACACTGCAAACTGTACGCTCCTTCTGCCGGAATGGAGCAAAAACGAATGGTATTAGCATATTTTATTTCCAGTTCGAATGTAATTTTCTTCAAATTACAGCATTATGGCCACTAGATGGATCTGAGGATCATAGCAAATAGAAATGCCTGTGCAGTATTGCTGTTTACCCAGAGTTTACAAAATTGCATATTTTTTTAATATTTTAGAAATATCTAAAGGTGCAAGGTGTAAACAATATGATTTCCTATCTAAAGCGCTGGCTACACATGAGTGGCATTGGTGGCACGTCATCGTAGGGGGGCAGCTTAGATAACAAGGAAGAGGCCAGATCACCAGATGATGATCTGGCCTCTTCCTTGTGTAAATGGTGGCTCCAGATAAAAGAGGCATTCAGAAAGTTAACCAGAATGCAAGATAATGTTAGCCTGTGTGAAAAGGTGAGTATGTTTTTTTTATTACCATGTAATTACATTTTCACTGTGTCTTGTTTACAATCTACAGGATTGGTGTGACGTTCCTATTTAAGGCCTCAAGCACAAAGTGTTACTAGCTGCGTTAGTTTGTGGCCGCTGTCATCCTGTCAGTCACTTGTACGGGCACAGCTGCCACAACTGTACTGACCTAACTGGAATTCCGTTGGTTCTTGCCACAGGAATCCTCAGCCGCAGCTAATAGCCCTGTGTGCATGAGGTCTAAATCACTACTTAAAATGTCTGTCTGTGTCAACAGAAGGGTACGACCCTCCTCCCCAGAGTGACAATTACACAGTGGCCAAGAGCAATTTATCCCTTGTCATCATTGCTAGTGGCATCATATCTTCTCACATCTTTCTGTTCACGTTTAAACATTTGCATTACTTACCAGTTGTACATGCTCGCCCTTCCTGTTTCCAACCGGGGCAGCAAGCCTTGGTGACACTAAGGGAAGGGAGAAGCAGGAAATAGATTAAAGAATTCAAGTCCAGGCAGAGGAAAAGAAAGATGCTTCACAAAACACTATTATAAGCATCTTCCTTTATTCCTTCACTTCCCTTTTCTCATGGGTCCTGTGCTGACACAGATGCCATGTACAGATCACCATTCATCTGGGGTTTTTATAGGAGATCTGCAGTGAAAGAAGTACATGGACTAACATAGGTGACCTTCTTTGGAAACATCTTGTTACATGATTAGTAATCTGTTGCATTGTCTTTAATGCTTTCTAAGAAAGAAAACTAGAATAACTATAACTATGCAGGGAATTAAGTCAGAACTGTTGTCCTACATATTTTTTTTATGTTGGTGACTCTAAAAGTACTGAAGCTACTGGATTAGCATGACAGCAAGGGCAAATAGCAATGTCAGAAGGTTAACAATGGCAGCCTGCATACTTCTGCAAAGGAAACCCGTTGGCATGGAAACATTTAGAAGCTCAGGCTGGACAAAGGAATCCAATCAAGTGTTTATTAAATTAACTTCTCCCACCTGTCTTTGTACTTCATTACCACTAATTGATAATTATTAATAAACAGTTTGCAGAGCCATTCGTCCTACGAAATTGAATGTACATTTGTTCTGCGCAAATGGAGGCAAAAACTATTGTTATCAGCATTTTTTTCTTTCGCACTGTGGCCATTAGATGGAGCTGAGGAGCATAGGAAATAAATACTTATTTCCTATGCTCCACAGCTCAATCTAGTGGCCATAATGACTTATTTTACTGATATTACACTTGACCTGGAAAGAAATGGCATTCTTTTTGCCTCCGTTTGTGCAGAACAAATGTACATGCAAATGGCTCTGCAACTTGCTTATACATAGACACCCAAATTGCCAGGCATAACAAAATCACCTAATTGATCAAATAAACCTTCCCACGAGTCTGTGTAACCTTTCTGATTTTATTGACACAGTACAGCTGGCCATACACTGCTTGAATTTCATCCCGCTGACGCCTGCTGTATAGCATAGATGGGGAATTGAGCACTTTTTCACATTTAGCCCACGGGGCTGAATGAGAATAAATGAAAAGTGAATGGCCAGCATAAGGGTGCAAAGGGCTTAACGTAGCCCTTCTGGCAAAGGGCTTAACGTAGCTAGCCAGGACTCTAGAAAAATAGCTAGAAAAATAAGACTTTGGTTTGAACAGCGTCCCCACACCAGATCTAAGTTATGGCCAGATCTGTTAGGAAAAACACTGAATGTTCTGTGGAGTTTCAGCCTCGGTGGAATCCCTACCTGTCTATCTGAAAGCTTCCCTTCTGCCTGCTGAGATCTGTCTACACTTCTTCCCATTTCAGCTAAATGTTTTATAGGGGAAGCCGTGCCTTCCTTTTTCTCTGCTATCCCGTATAGTTACTGCTTGCTGGACTGGGACTGTGTATAACAGGAGAAAGTCATTAAGTGTGTACTGACAGCTATATCTACAAGTTGTGGACTAGACATGTGCACCAGCAAAAAAATTTGTTTAGTTTCGTTTCGATTCAGATTTTGCGTTATTTTGTTTTTCGGGATTCGGATCCGAAAGTCAATTCGTTTCAGGATTCGGACGAAATTCGTTAACAGTAGTCTGTACGAATGTTTGTTGTCGTTTTGTGTGTGTTTCGCGTGCGTTTTGTTCGGTTCGTTGCAGTGACATTAAAAAACTTTTTTTAATTGACTTCGCTGGAACAAAAATTCGTCCACAAACAAACATCTGTATAGACTACCGCTAATGAATTTTGTCAAAAATTTATTTTTCGGAAATTCGGATTCGTTATTTATGTTATTCAGAAATTCGGATACATCCGAATAACGAAAATTCGTCAGAAAAGCAAATTTTTCCAAAACGAATCGCACATGTCTATTGTGGACATTGATGCCTGAGCTCCAGGTTTACTTGCTTGAAGTCATACAGTTTCTAGTGGCACATTTCTGTGTTTTGATTGCTAACTCTCTAAATACAAGTTTTCTTAACACATCACTCCATCAAACTCATTAGTGAAGAAATAGCTGGCATAGCATTACTGATCTGCGTTTGAAAATTATTTTTCGCTTGGCTATCTCAGACTTCAATACATTCTGAATTAATGAATCAACATGTATGGAAGCAAGGGAAGTTAAAATGAAAGTAGAATTCTCAGTGACCCTGATGACCTTTTGGAAATGTAAGTGGATATACAGCATGCAGCTGCATATTCAGTATTCTATATTTTTATTTCCTCTGTGTTTTCCTGCACCGGGCACTCAGGTACTTCTACAGACATTAGGCCAATTAAATAAGCATGTCCTGAGCAGTTCCTGGAATTTACATCTGAGTTAATTGTCTGCGGAACAACTGTTAACTCATGTGACCCCTGCTTATACCACAAAGAGAACAACTATCTACAATGGGCCCTAATCTTATCAGGCAGCATAAAGATAGAGTACTGCAAATAATGTAAATAGGATTGTTATTATTATTATCATCATCATTAATATTACTTTTAATATTTGCTTTCTATTCATCGTCAGGACTTTCTTCTGAAAATGAAGAAGAGGTGGGTAAGGAGGAATTATTTTCTTTCTTATGGTTGTTCTAATAATATGGTACCTAAAGGCATCCTCTCTTTCCAGAAATATTGCTAGCTTTCCTATCATTGTGTGCTCTTTGCAATATACAATATGGCCAACTGTTTGTTGACATCTAAAGTTACTTTACATCTAAGCATCACACTCATGTTCTTGTTGGATATCCCATTCCAAATAATATGGATCCCCCTTCCCCCCCACACACACTCACACACCCTATGTGACTATCACAGCCTCCATTCTTCTGGTGAGGTTTACCTTGGGTTGGTCACAAAGATTTTAGTGTGTGTCTGTGGGAATTTGTGCTCATTCAGCTAAAAGGACACTTGTAAGATAAGAAAATTATGTTGGATGAGAAGACCTGACTCGCAATTGACATTCCAATTCATCACGAAGGTGTTCAATAGGGTTGAGGTCAGGGCTCTTTGCAGGCTACTACAGTTCCTCCAAATCAAACTCTTCAAACCATTTCATTATGGAGCTTGCTTTGTGAACAGGGTCACTGTCATACTGGAAAAGGAAAGGACCTTCCTCCCCTTCACTGGAAACACCTGAGCCATATTGTATATAATATAGAGCTGTGGTCATGTCAAGTGTTTAGCTGGCCATACACCTTACAACCATCGCACGACTTTCATTGTGCGATGGTTGTAAGGCCATTAAAATTTCGTACGACCTGCCCATCTTGGACAGGCAGATCGTACTTGCGATCATCGAAAGCCCTCCCCGCTGAGGTGAGGGCTTGCCGATGAATGCAATGCTGAGCGGGCAGTGTGCGCTTGCGCACACCGGCCTGTGTGGCTTTCGTCTTCCGAGCACGCTACCAACCCGCCGAAAATCATACGATTTTCGGCGGGTTTTCCAGCGTGCTAGGAAGATGAAAGTCGCGCAACCGTACAGTAGATGCGCTACCAGTAGACGCTGGAAAACCCGCTGAAAATCGTATGATTGCCCAACTGCATCACAATAGAAACATTCATGCTTAGCCTTATAAAAAATAGATATGATTTTGAAACCCACATGCCCACATTAATTACCACTACAGGACCTGAAGTATTTTTTTAAACTCCATAGTTGTATCTCATGTTTATGGTACACCACAGATAAAAAGAAGTATGAATACAAGTATTATTTGGTCAGACTGGGAAAAGTTTGGCTGCAAAACTCCCACACACCTCAACAACTACTCCCCACACACTAATGAAAGTTCATGCCGGTCTGCAATAAATTGACCTTTGCTCACTGTGTTAAAAGCATAGTGTAACATTCCATTTGTAGCTAATAGCTCTGCCCCTTTGACCTTTAGCTTTGTTTTATGCAGCATTGCCATATTAAAATAGAAGGTACATGTGATCACTTTTATCATAAATCTAAAATGCTCAATTAAATTTTTCAATGGAGGTGGAGCAGTGCAAATAATTTCTTTGCACCTCTTGTAGTCAATAAGAATCAACGCATTATTGAAGGCAAAAGGTGGCCCAACAAAGTACTGATGGGGTGGTCATAATAATCTGGCCACTCAGTGTATATTGAACCAATGGCTCATACCACATACACAGACTAAAATGAAAGCCATTTATTTTGATCTTACATACAGCTGTTGACTTTTTAGCAATTATCAGGTACAGAAAAAACATGGCTCTATAGGGCTTGGGGAGTATAGAAATAGGATAATCAGTTAGTTTATGATAAGTTGGGCCAATAGAACACAAAAAGTTCAGTTGACTTCTTAGTGTTGAGTGATGTAAAAGTGCACCTTTAAACTCAAAAATCTAATTCTACCAATGCATCCCTCTATGTACGATGATTAATAATAACATAGACAAGTCAGGTGCAAAATGTTGTGATTTTGAAATACTTACACTTGCAGAGCATTCACTCACAAAGGAAAGAGAAGCAAATGTGAGAAGTTAAATAACAAACATCGTTTAAAATGTGTTTGTATAAGGAAACCAGTGTGAAATGTTTCTACATATCCCTATTCTCCTCCTATATGGTCATTGAGATTAAAGAGAAATTACGTTGTGAAAGGTGTTTCCCTTTTAAGGACAGAGCTGCAGTGAAAATTAAGACTATGATTTCGAAAGGGAAATGGGATGATCTACCCCACTGGTCATGCTCTGATTCAGATGAAGGAGAGGTACAGGAAACCAATAAAAATATGAGAACAATAGTGACTACTAAGCAGAGATTCAGAAAAAGACAAATAGAGGATGTGATGTTGTTCGGCTGGAGACAATGGAGATTTTTCTGCGCATGTGCTGAAGAAAAAATGCCTGGCCGGGAGGCTTGGCAGCAGTGGGTGTGCAGATCTCAGTGGAGTACACAGCGAAGGTCTGGTAAAAGTGAGGACAGTTGGGGGGGATAAAGATAAAGTTATCCTTCAAGGAATACATTGCGGACACCACCCTGCACATTGGACAGTGTAAAGCTGGGCATACACCTTACAACCATCGCAAGACTTTTGTCTTGCGATGGTTGTAAGGTAATTTTAAAAACGTACGATCTGCCCATCTTGAACAGGCAGATCGTACATGGGATGACTGCAATGCCGCACGGGCAGTGCAGCGTTTTTCTCCCGAGAACGCCACTAACCCGCCGACGATCGTACGATTCTCGGCGGGTTTTCAAGCCTATTCGGGAGACAAAAGACGTGCAACCGTACAGTAGAAATGGTCGCACTCCTTCCATACACCTGCCGATTATCGTACGATTGCAGGATTTCCCACGATTATCGCACCATAATCAGCAGGTGTATGGGCACCTTAAGAGTAGCAGACTGATGAGGTCATCTCTCTTCTCTCTTCCTATGAACATGTTCCTTGAACGTGCAAAGGCTGGCCCTTTTAGTCCGATCCAATAGAAGAGCTACTGTAGCTCAAATTGCTGAAAAAGTCATGCTGGTTCTGATAGAAAGGTGTCTGAACACACAGTGCATTGTAGTTTGTTGCGTATGCGGCTGAGTAGCTGCAGACTGGCCAGGGCGTCCATGCTAACCCCTTTCCACCACCTACAAGCGCCTACAATGGGCATGTGAGCATCAGAACTGGACCATGGAGCAATGGAAGAAGGTGGCCTGATCTGATGAATCACATCATGTGAATGGCCAGGTGCAAGTGCCTGGGACAGCAGGATGCACCACAGGAAGAAGGCAAGCCGGCAGACGCAGTGTGATGCTTTGAGCAATGTTCTGCTGGGAAACCTTGGGTCCTGCCATTCATGGGGATGTTACTTTGACACATAACACCTAACTAAACATTGTTGCTGGCCAAGTACACCCCTTTATGGAAATAGTATTCCCTGATGACAGTGGCCTCTTTCAGCAGGCTAATGCGTCCTGCCACACTGTAAAAATGATTCAAGGATGGTTTTAGGAACACAACAACAAGTCTGAGGTGACTTGGCCTCCAAATTCTCCAGATCTCAATCCAATTGAGCATCTGTGGGATGTTCTGGAAAAACAAGTACGTAGTGAAAAAAAAAAAAAACATAGCGCAAACATCGGGGCATTTTGACAAGTACAAGTACTTGTCAAAATGCCCTGTTTTTTCCGCCCTCACCCTGCAGAGCCCTCCGGCGGCCGCCTGACTTGCCTTGTGGTAGCGCCGGGCCTGAGTGGCAAGATGGCAGCACACAGCAGAATAACTAGGTCTTGGGCCATAGTCTGGTGCAAAATTGTGGTTTGACGACTATGCAATGAGTTGCTTACAGGCTAATTTGGTAGCAGTTACTAAAAAAAACTAGCAATTGTAAGGCAGTGACGTGCAGTAAAGTCAATGCTAGATGAGGCATTCACCCTGCCCCACCCTGCACCCAACTCGGTCACCAAGCTATGTGTGGAGGGAGGGAGAAGGGAAAAGCCTCCCTGTCCCTCACTTGCTTGTCATTGGTGAGGCATCGAGATCGATGTCCCCAGTGTTTTTATTTTCTTTTTTTCGATTGGACATCTTGGACAGCACTTTGCCATTGGTCCAAACCATCCACAGAGCTCAAGCCTCTAACACCAAGTAGAGGCTGTTGCAGCTCTGGCTTCACTATGTTAGGTTGCACAAAGCAGTGGTGAAGCCCGCTGCTGTGTAACCTAACTTAGCTGTCAAAAGCCGGATGAAGCGCTGCCTGTAATTAACAGGCAGCGATCCGTCCATGACAGGTTACACAGCGGGGAGGCTTTCCCTGCTGGGTAACCTGTTACAAGCCGCTCTGAATGGAGAAAAAGCTGTCAGCTTAAGACTTGAAGCTGACAGCTTTTTCTTCCATAATTCTAGGTGAGGCTCCGCCTCACCTGACCGAATGTCCCTGTTGTAAGGGTTGCTTTAATGTCTCCTGGAGGAATTAAAAGGTTCTAGCGTTTATACAATCAATTTCTAGTTATTTGTATTTCTAGTGCAGGCTCCAAAGGGAGATATAACATATTATTTTTAGCTATGTGCAATACTGTCCTTTCTGCCATTTATTGATCATATTCTGTATAAATCTTTTACAAAGGTTCATAACCTTAACATGTTATTTTCATGATTAGTACTTTTCCATTAAACAATAATCTTCCAAATTACAAATAATTAGAATAAATACTTAAATAAGGCAAAGAGAAGTTTATGTGTGTCACAGTGACTCTACTAGACAAAGTACCGACAGATATACATAGCAATTAAAGGTAATGAGCGCAGATGAAACACATAAGAGTAGCATACTATTATCCGGTAAACTCCTTCAAATCTTAAATGCTTACTTATTTCACATATAAAAAAACAAAAGACTGCATTAAGCATCTGGTTTCCTGGAAATGAGACAGAGTTATCTTTTCCTAGAATGAAGTTGAAGCACCAGTTCAGGAACAAACTATAAGAGCTGCAGAGTCATACATGCTTACCCATATTTACAGACATTTTCCCCACTGTGATCCAGATCTTGAGAGCTCAGTCCAGACAACCAAGTCCAAAATAATACCATCAGTCTCAGGTTTGTGATGTGAAGGAGCATTGTCCCTGTTCATAGAGTCAATGAGAAGCCAGGAGCTTGGGATCCTAGATGGGATAGGGATAGAGAAGGCAGAGGTGGTGCTGGAACTTGTGAACCATATTTACAGCTGAGTTGTCTCTTCCCTGCACTGTCCCACACTGAATGCCCTCTCCCTGGGATCAAGTTCCTTCTTCATATTTTTCCTGAGGAAGTATAGGAGGGGATGCAGAATTCCTGCTATTGAATCTAAGCAGTGGGAGGGGGATCAATGACACACACAATCTGAAGTACAGTAAAGACCTAAATGCCAGTATACAGCAACATAAATATATGCTATGTTGACTACAAGTCTTTTTGTATTTGTATATATAATAATGTAGTTGTATTGTATACAGGAAATCTACATGGAAGAAAGATGTTCCCCTTTTAAGGAGTTCCCATTACAGATGTTCCGAAATTTTTAAATTGTACATATATTGTATACATACGTTATACATATATTGTACTAGTGTACACAGCAATTTGTTAAATAGCTTGCATGAGGGTTGAAATTATTTTTCATGGAGAATTAAAGTATATGTAAAGCCCCAAACTTCATATCTTTTTAGTTTTGGATAGAGTAGGAAAATGTTAAAATCCCTGGCAGTTTTTATAGTCATCTGTGTCTCATTGGGGAGAGTTCCCTTCACTTTCTGTTTTGCAAACACAGTTGGGGATGTGAGAACCATTTGTGACTGGAACAAGTCAAAGACCTCTCATTACCTTCTGTTCCAGTGGCAACTCAAAATCTTGGATTTAGCCTTACTTTAAGTTTGAGCCTAAGCACTGCATCATGGCAGGAGGTCACAATGGTGAGTGCACTGCACGCCAGAAAGGTTGAATCAATGGGCATGACCAGAAACTGATTACTCTGTAAACTTTTGATGGTCAGAATTCCATTGTCCTTTCATGGTACTACCAAGAAGTGCAATCCCAGAACATTTTCTCCTTTTTGTTTTTTAAGTAGAAAATGTCTGGACACCTCTACATCACTACAGCACAGTATTGATGTGAGAGCCACAGATCAAACCAGTGAAACCACTGTGCTAATTGGAAAACCAGGATATCGACACTCCTGAAAGTGTTGGGTTCTGAAGGGTCTTCAGGCAGTCTTTATTTTTAGTAGAGCATTGTTCTGTGGAAGAGGTAGGTATTTGCAATCTCATTTCCAGGGGACCCTTTTTCAGCAGTTGCATTTTAGTAAAAGAGTCGATGAGGATGGTAAGATCTCTAGTAGCATCCTAATGCTCAACAAAAGTTAATAAACTATGGTACCTCAGTGGTTTCCTTCACATATGATTTTTGCACTCCTGTATACTGCCAGTTAATAATGCAATATTACCGAGAGTAATGTAACTTTTCTTGTTTATTATTATTATTATACAGGATTTATATAGCGCCAACAGTTTGCGCAGTGCTTTACAATATAAGGAAGACATCACAATACAATTCAACACAAGATGGTAAGGAGGGCCCTGCCCGTGAGGGCTTACAATCTAAAAGGGAGGGGCTAGTGATACATGAGGAGGTAGCTGTGTTGGTATGAATTGTTTGAGAGCGTGATGGTTGAGTGGTTTGGTTGAGGTGGGATAGGCTTCCCTGAAGAGATGAGTCTTAAGGGATCGCCTAAAGGCAGTCAGAGTTGGAGATAGACTAACAGGTTGGGGTAGAGAGTTCCAGAGAATGGGAGAGACTCT